CTGCCGCTAACCCGGCTACTGAATGTCGGTCTCTGGGGGGCAGCTAATCTACAGAAGACGTTTGCAAAAGAACCCAAAGAGTAAAGAGGCAGCGGAAGTCAGTCGGAGACTGCAGTCAGAGTGCATAATCAAAAAACGGAATGAGTTAGAGAGCCAAAGCTTACGGATGAAACTTGATTAGGAAAATAATGTGATATTTAGCTGCCCGACTGTAAGGCATCGAGATGACAACACCTGTACAGCACTTCTGATACTCTGCAAACTACCTAGTCTGAAATGTACCAAACGACTAGTGATTAAGATGATTTAAAGAGCTGAGATCGATACCAAAAAGAGGGATGAGAGCAGGACAGTATGCAAAGCTCCTGCCTTTACCAGCCAGAGCCCTGAGGCGCAGGAGGGCCCAGATACCTTGTTCGTCACAGTGTTGATCGCCAGCGTTGGAGAGGCACTTCCAGACATGATGCAGTCCATTCCGATAGAGTCCGAGTCCAGGCTGTAGGGCGTGGAGGCCTGTGGGAGAAAAGGGGGGGGCAGACAGGTGAAGCTGAAGCCGCATGTGCCCCTACTAACTCAGGCGGGGGCTGTCCTCATAAAACGGCATGCTGATCTCGGAGAGAGAGCAGGGTCCCTGCTTAAAGACAGCCGGCGGTAGCGATGTAGCGGGAGGCGAAGCTCATAATGGCTTCGTTATTCCAGAGCACACGGCAGTACTTAAGAAGGGGGTCAGCGGAGCTGCGGAGCGAAGGCAAGCGGACCTGAAGGCAAGCGGACCTGAAGGCANCGGTCGGGGATACTGTACTGAGGCTGGGGTGGCGGCTGCTGGAGACTCATGGACTGGGAAACAGGTTCTGGGTGGTTGGTAACCTGCAGACATGGGGGGGGGGGGCAGCCAAATGAGTCATCCTTTGAAAAGACTTCCACATTTGATCTGGAAAATTACAATGTTGACCTAACAATGTCACTACAAGGTAACACTGGCAACAATAGTCACACAGTCACACTAGAGGTCCGGAAGGTGCCACATAGACGGAGAAGAGAGACAGACGGATGCACACACCAGGCAGACATGCATGCATCTCTCTCACACACACACACACACACAGGTCTGAAACCACACTGTACCACAGCACCAAATTGTAAATAAAAGCCAGAAAACGTTTCTGGTCTTCAGCCAAAGTGTCTGACACTCAGAAGCTTAAACTGACAAGATGCATCTTTACACTTTAAAGGGGACTGATGATTAGAGACACTCTAAGCGTACAGTGGAGCTGGCCAGCACCATGCAGCAAATGGGTATGTTCATCAGCGCCCTGTCTGCTGGGGGCAGGGAGGTGCACAGAGGTGCACAGTGTCCTGCCACTTTCGGTATCTGCACTGGGCAGAGGCGGGCAGAGGCGGGCCGAGGCGGGCAGAGGCGGGCAGGCCCCCGCCGGCGCCCGTGCATCCCGCTAAGCGCCAGGAGCGATCATCCTGAACGGGGGACTCTATAGGCGTCGCCTGACTCACCGTGATCTCACGTGACCCGACCTAATTGGAGTCTGGGTGACTGGGCTTTGGACACCCGGGGTGGGGGGGGGGATGGGGGGTTGTAGGCAGAGGCTCTTATTACCTCCTTGTTTATATGTGAGACGGGCTACAATGCAAAGTCGTAAATGAGAGCGTCACTAATTAGCGCCTTCGTTAGGGAATGGCGGCAGGAAAGCAATACTGGGGGCTCGAGGGTGAGGAAGCCTCAGGAGGTACTTGAGGGCTCTGATGGAGGGGGGGGGTCTTCAGCTACTTGCTATGAAACTGACTCATTTCATTGATTCCATTTCCCCCAAAAAGCTGCCCATTTCCACAGCAGGACATTTTCAGGTTTAGGACCCTGCCTGCGGAGCCTTATGGATCTACCGGATGGGCAAAGTGCATCACAACGTGGTGTGAAGTTACTGAGTGAGCTACACAATGGACATATTGACTGGCCACCATCCCCTTAACCCGTTACCAGAATCTTTTGATGTCAGCCAAGTTCTTCTAGCTGCATTTGATGTTTTTTAAATGTTCACTGATTCGCCTTGTTAGAATTTCCCACAATGCTACAGGTCTTTTGTGTCTGTAGAGTTGTCCTCCAGGGTGACACTAGTTAAGAGACCAAAGCACCAATATATAATTTGGGGTCTAGTTCAGAAGCTGCAAAATCCTAAAAACTCATTGCATTCCTTGCGTTTAGAAATAAAGAAATAAAAAGGTGTTTCATTATCAGAAACATATTTCCCCATTTGCTGGTGCTGCTGTTAAGTTTTATAGCTATATAAAATAATACCCACTTGTAATGTGACATATGCATGTCAGCTACAGGGTCAGCATGGGTGTAACCATGAATGAACCCAGCAGTGACGTCTGGCATCACAGCTAATGATGGACGTCCTGGATCCAGAGCTCCAGTGGGCTACTCACCGCATCCTACAAAAACACCTCAAATTTACACAAAGACTGAAAACACTGAATGCTGAAAACGGAGCGCCTGACATCTGCAGAGAGATCAGTCGTATTTTTTGAAGGCATACGTTTTGTTCCAGCGTACATAAACGCCATTCCTGTCTGCATTACTTTTCCCATCACCAGTTTTTAGAACAATGTGTGTGCTTGTGAAACGGGAGCCATGCACTTTTCAGGACAAGCTCACGTGGATCGAAAGCTTAATTTTAGCAAGTAAAATCTCAAGTCTAAATCCTCAAAGCTGAATTCTTCTCTGCTCCCCAGCTTTGGTTTCCTTAATAAGGTTATTGGATAGATTACGCAAACGTAGGCTCAATAATATGGATTCCTCCAGTCATTCCTGATATAATATGGGATTATGCTAAGGTGATGCTATAAGGCCGAGAAATATATGCCTCTTATGAAAATGACAAATGAGACACACAGAACAGACCTGGAAAGAGGAGAACTCGGGGACGAAGAACCTCCAAATTCCACAAATTACGAAGAATTCCAATTTGTCTGGGCTGGACTTGGATTATGTTCACATTCACTAAACAACAATGCCATGAATGGAGGATTCTGGACAGCAACACAAACACAAATATTCAGAAGGTGGACAAAGTAGCAACCAACTTGTTCTTCAAATGAATGTTACATGGTGTAATGTTCACTCAGAAACCAGACCTCACCAAAAGGCTCAGAACCACACCAGGATAAGCCCACGTTCCTCTTTTACTGGAAGGCCATTTGTTTTATGTCCCAAAGAGAGCCTCCAGCGCAGACTGCTTCCCGGGATAATTCCTTAAAGCATTTGGCCAACTTAGCTCCATCTTTATGACCAAGTTGGAATTTTTTCCTCCCTAAAATGGGATACTAACGAAAAACTATGAACATGGTACATATTTCCAATCCAGCAAAAAGACCAGAAACTGCCTCCATTTTTTGCCATAGAGGTTTATGAAATTTTGATAAATTAATGATTCCAAAGACAGCAACGATTGTTCAAGACTGCTCTGCCGAAACCAGTGAAGACCAGATCAGACTGAACTAATCAGGGACTGACAGCAGGCTGTTAAACGCAGAACGTTAACAGTGGGGAAAACAATAACAACCTTACAGACGTCTCAGGGTGCTGAAAAAACCCATTTCCTACGACAGAGAAACTTTTCACTATGCTGACGCCGAGTCCGGTGATTAGGCTTTTGTACAAAGCTATTGACGTATCGATGATTGGATTCACTCTGACTGCTAGCAGACTAACCCAGAAACACTCATCTGCTTAATAACAGCCTACTGCCGTCTAACCAACCCCATATTCTGTTCTCCTAATGTTGTTTATTGTATTTTACACTTTCAATATTCTTTTTGATTGCGGTCCGCATTCCTCTTACAGCACCAATCTGCGATATGTTTGCTGTAAATTAAAAGGAAAGAAAGCCAGGAAGATTAAAAAAAAAAAAGTGATCAAACAAATTTTCTAAATTCAGAAAAATCCATATCTAATGTACTTAGGCAAGGTGGCGATTTCTGTCATCACAGAGGTCCAGCACATGAAGTAGCTGGACTGACCGGCAGCTTTGCTGAATGCCAACTCACCCGCCATATTCACTCGGTGCTGCCAGCTGACACACTTCACGTGGAGCAAAAGAATGGGAAAGCGTGATAATTCACCGTTCCCTGTGTGTGCGTGTGTGTGTGTGTGTGTGTGTGTGTGTGTATTCACTGCACGCATGGATAAAGTGGGGCAGAGCAGATGGCAAATCATTTCATCGATTCGTCGCACGATGAACTGTGGCGGGTCTTGGAAGCCTGCCAGTTAGGCTGCTTATAGATGGCAAGCTCCCGTCTCTAGTTTAATAGCTGATTTTTGACAATTAGAAGGACAGCTATGCAGCTCTCCTCAGTGGGAGGGTAGATAACGAGCTCCAAGCATGTTAGCAAAGGCACTGAAAGACCCCCCACCCACTGCTGGCACCCCTGAATGGCTCTTATACTCTGTACACTATGGTAGGGTGCGTGTGTGTGTGTGTGTGTGTGTGTGTGTGTGTGTGGACCTTCGTTCGCACTCCTACAATTATGAAGTACTTCCCAGCACACAACCCCTCCTCATGGAGGGCGGCCATGAACTTCATAACCTCTGATGTTTGGAAACATCTGCTAGCATGAGGCTGAAACCAGGACTGCCACACTCATCCAAAGGCGCTGCCCCCGTACGCTTGTCTAAACTTTGTATGTTAAAATGCTCGCGATCATAATCTGCCCTTCTGAGACTTGCACTTGCAAACTTAAGGCAGCGGGCTCCTATTACCAAATGTTTTTATAGATGAACTGGGTATTTACATTTACTTTATTTAACAGACGCCTTTATCTGAAGCGACATAAGTGACGCGAAAGGTACATTGCCAACGTAGAGGCTGTCAAAGACTCGACTAGGCGTAAGTGCAGCTGGGCCATTCACACAGCGGATCTCACACGCACACACAGACACACACACACGTTGAGGGCAGGGTCAAAGCGGAGGCAGGGCGCAGTACCGGCGTGTAGCTATGCACCGTGGCTCCGCTGTTCAGGTTCACTGACGCCAGGCTCTGATCTGACAGACTGTTATTAAGGCTGCTCCGGGGACTGTCACTGCCATCCTGGTCCGTGTTGTACAATGGTACCTGAAAAGAGACACCAAAGTCACACCTGGGGACACAGTTCACCCACGCCGACTCCGCGGCAACACTGCAGCTCCGAAAAACCCAAGAATCCAACTTCTATATAAATAAACAAACTACTGGTACGACGAAAGTGTTTCTAAGCAACATTTATCTCATTTGCGTTACGGAGGACAGGTGTGGAGACGGACTGGGGATTTCTGGGAAAGCTGAAAGTGAAAGGAAGGTGCCTGAAAATGAAGTCGAGCAAATACGGGAAGATGAATTAGGGGGAAACGTTCATAACGGTCATTAGCTCATCGCTGTCGTTGGCGGTTACATGCTAAAGCTAGCGACACATGGCAGGAGAGCAGTCAGAAGCCGCCCCCAGCGGACACCCAGAGCAAAGAGCGCATTTCACAGCCAGGCAGGAGTAAATAACGGACAAATAAAATAGCCCATCCTTCCTCCATACTGTTCATTGAGTACTGGGTCATAAAACTTCTGCTACTCTTCACTGCTACTGCTAATACTACTACTACAACAACAACAACAACAACAACAACTACAACTACTACTACTACTACTACTACTACTACTAAAACCAAAATATGCTGCATGTTGCAGGATTTTACCAAGGGTGTGCTTATCATGTCTGTAAAATAATACAAAAATTCAGGTAGAACTCTACTGGAAAACATATATTAAACTTTTACCTACATTGTTTAGCACAGACATTCTTCAGGGATGATTTTAAAATTTTAACAAGGACCCCACTGGTTCGATGTTAAAACTATCACACAAATAATGTGCAGCAACAAATTTAATATTTATGCTATCAAAACAACCAAACTAATGACTAAAAATAAAAAACGTCCATATTAGAACCATGCAATAATACGAAGAAAGAAAAATAAATTCAGTAACGTGAAAGGCCATGTTTGTGTAATAAGTGACCATCTGTCATGCTGTGCACAGTTTACTCTTTGACCTGAGGTTTCCTCAGCATTCAGACCTTTGGGGCATTAAAACAATTTTAAATTTGCCGGAAGAATTCTGAGGATTAAATGTGATCTGTTACCAGCCCTGTGCCCCTTCCCTCCCAGAATCCAAGCCTTACTGCCTAAGGAATTTAGTCCCACAAATCACATGTTTATTTTTAAGCTAACAACACTGTTGCATTCCTGCAGTTTTTTTTTTTTCTTAACTTCTTGAATTATTTTGCTTAAAGAGGCAATGATCCCATATGATGTCTCGTGTTTATTAATGAAATCTCAGTCTTTTAGTCTAATGCAGTCGTGCCCCCCCCCAATAACTTCATCAATGGAACCAATTAAAATGCATGAACAGACCCCACCTATGATCTGGTGCACAATTTTCAGCAAGGCGTTTCCCAAAAATCCATCACATCAAGGTCCTTCAAGGTCAAGCAAGGCCCTGACTATTTTAGGACCCCATACATCATACATGTGCTGCTGCCAGCATATGTGAAGAAGCAACATTCATTTATTACGCGAATAGATTAACGAAATTAATTGACTACATGCTGATGCTCATTTTATCCTTTGCAACAGAAAATAAATTGGAGGCATCATTTTAATCTGTCCAAGCCACTGCTGCATCTGTTGCTAGGCAACTGACAGAAGCACTTTATGAGTGTATAGAAAAGCGAACTGTGACATCACATGGCAGACAGGCTGACTCAAGAACATCTTCAGTGCAGTCCATAAATAAAGATGTCTGTCGCATATACTGGCTTATATACCATTCAGGGGTCTCTCTGTTCTATATGTTTAAGTTCTGACTCTGGAAAGCAGAGGTCTGGCTTTTGCCAAGATCGTTATGGTAATGAGACATAAGACATCCCCTGCCACATCACACTGAGAAACTCCTCAAGCCAATTTCTAAAGACCTCAGGCATTACGCAGAGGGTCTGGCCCACCCAAGCCCTTCTGTAGCCAAACAAACAGCATGTTGCTATAAGCAGAAGACACAGCGATAGCTGCAGTGGGGTGGAATGTACCACCTGCAAATACCCCTAAAGTCCAGCCCATGGGTAAACACTGTGACGGGACGACGGAAGGGCCTAGTGTCAGAGTCAGAGTGAGCGGAGAGGACCAACGGCCTTTCTGCCGCTAACCCGGCTACTGAATGTCGGTCTCTGGGGGGCAGCTAATCTACAGAAGACGTTTGCAAAAGAACCCAAAGAGTAAAGAGGCAGCGGAAGTCAGTCGGAGACTGCAGTCAGAGTGCATAATCAAAAAACGGAATGAGTTAGAGAGCCAAAGCTTACGGATGAAACTTGATTAGGAAAATAATGTGATATTTAGCTGCCCGACTGTAAGGCATCGAGATGACAACACCTGTACAGCACTTCTGATACTCTGCAAACTACCTAGTCTGAAATGTACCAAACGACTAGTGATTAAGATGATTTAAAGAGCTGAGATCGATACCAAAAAGAGGGATGAGAGCAGGACAGTATGCAAAGCTCCTGCCTTTACCAGCCAGAGCCCTGAGGCGCAGGAGGGCCCAGATACCTTGTTCGTCACAGTGTTGATCGCCAGCGTTGGAGAGGCACTTCCAGACATGATGCAGTCCATTCCGATAGAGTCCGAGTCCAGGCTGTAGGGCGTGGAGGCCTGTGGGAGAAAAGGGGGGGGCAGACAGGTGAAGCTGAAGCCGCATGTGCCCCTACTAACTCAGGCGGGGGCTGTCCTCATAAAACGGCATGCTGATCTCGGAGAGAGAGCAGGGTCCCTGCTTAAAGACAGCCGGCGGTAGCGATGTAGCGGGAGGCGAAGCTCATAATGGCTTCGTTATTCCAGAGCACACGGCAGTACTTAAGAAGGGGGTCAGCGGAGCTGCGGAGCGAAGGCAAGCGGACCTGAAGGCAAGCGGACCTGAAGGCAAGCGGACCTGAAGGCAAGCGGACCTGAAGGCAGAGAGTCCCGAGCAGGATCACAGTGACAAAAAGGCAACATTCACAGAAATGAGAAATGGCCTGACTAAAGCAGCAGTCAAGTAACTGTTAAAAGATCCTTTCTGAGAGGGATACACACACACACACACACACACACACACAGAAAACTTCTAACATTAAAAGACAGGAATGAATGGGTAGCGGAGGCATATAGACAATATATTATAAAGGACTGAAGAAACTTTATTTAGGTCAAATTATTTTTAATTTGAAAAGGGGAATAAATGAAAGCCGGAATAAATAAGGCAGAGCCTCGTCTCTGCAGCGGCTTTGGGAGCGGGCAGATAACTCAGGGCGCCTGTCTCCCAAAACTGCTTACTCTAAGAGGATTGGCTGGCAACAATGAGATTTTTCATTTGTGATAAACATTTAAAAATACATACATAAATAAATCTGCATTTTTGTGTCCATGGCTTTTTTTTTTTTTAACAGAAATAAAGAATAAGGTGGCAAGAGAGATGGATAGAGGGAGGTAAGAAAGGCAGAGTTAGATGCAGAGTAGAAATTAGGGGAGGGAGAGAAAGAGAGAGAGATGCCTTCTTCTAGGTGCACAACAACCACAGCATAGAGCAAAGGCCCAACCTGTAAATCCTGCCAATTCGGCCACCTTGCCCCCCCCCAGCCCCCATTTTTCATTTGGACTGTTGTTCAGCTTCTGGCCAACCAAACATGCAATTTAAAAGTTTGACATTTAATTTGACTGTTAGGATGGAGCGATGAAAATCCGAGGGATCAAACTGGTGATCGCCGTGTGTCACAGTGCGAAAAAAAAAGTGTATAATTAATTTTGGAGGTGGCCGAACTGCTTAGCGCGCGGGAATAAGGGCGCTTTCCCAAGCTGTGAGTGCAGCAGCGTTTTCAGGGTGGTCGCTGGGTGAATCAGGTCACTGTGTAAGGACCCAACGCTATGAAGGTCTTCATAAACACTGCCTTTGGCGATTCCAGTAGGGATGGTGTGTGGCTCACTGGGTTAGAAGGTTGTAGGTTCAAATCCCAGAGCCCGCAGACTGATTCCACTGTGGGGGGCCCTGAGCAAGACCCTTAACCTCCAACTGCCCCAGAGACAGGCTGACCCTGCACTGTGATCCCCAAACATCTCATGCAGAGCAACATGGATAAGCAAAAATATGACCCTTTAGGGGATGAATCACTGTTTTATTATATTCCATAAGCAGCAGTAACAGATTGACTTCCCAGTCCTACACTGAAGTTCAGACTGGAAAACAATGGCAGCAGATGATCTCAGCCCAATAACACAACTTCAACACATAGTTAATAAGCAATATAATTAAGCATAGTAGCCTATGAAAATGTCCAAATGCAGTAGGCAGTTCATGCCACACAGTGTGCCTAATTCATTCATTCATTCACTCATTCACCTTCTATACCACTTCTATACCACTTCTATACCTATTCAGGGTGGCGGGGGTCTGGATCCTATCCCAGAAGCTACAGGCACAAGGCAGAGAACAGCCCAGGACAAGGTGCCAACCCTCTGCAGAGCCAATGTGCCGATTTCGAGAACTTTAAAAAGGTCATTGAAAATAAAAGCACCAAGAGATCCTAATCAGATGGCGCCAGGGGCCCAAATCACACGCATCTTCAAAGAGAAACATTAACTGACCCCCGTCTGCACAGAAACACACACCCACCTGTAAGCCAGAGCCTTCCCAGAAATCTCAGCGCAACACAGCAACTCAGAGATGTAAAATAAAATCGTAATGCTGAAAAGTAATCCTAGCAGATCTCTGAATTAATTGATTTTTTTTTATATCCCTGCAGCAAAAACTATGAGTAATGGCTGCCTTGGGTATGATTCGCTTACAATTCTGGCGACGGCGGGCCAAGCAGAGCATAAAAACTGCAGGAGGCGCGACACGGACAGAGAGAGGCTGGGAATTACAGGGTCCCCCGAGGATGAAAGGGCAGGATATGAGATAGAGACGCACCGTGTCTGCGGATTTATAGCAAGGATTTCCCCAATTACGGCGTTTTCATTATGGTTACAGTACCAAGATGGATTAAGGAGGCAGGAAGGTCGCAGCTGGTGAAATATCACAGGGGCAATATTTGCATTTCTACGACAGATGAATCAATGTGCATTTAGTGAGACTACGGATGCGCTTCTTCAGAAACCGCAGATTGCGACGCGCCGACGATTTAACGAACCATTAGTCGAACCGGAAAAATCTGATATTAAAAAGCCTGATTGAATAGACGATTCAACCAGACTGGCACAAAGGGGGGAGAACCAGCCCGGAACTTCATGTAGGTGGAAGCTGCAAACGTTCTGATACGCGCCACCAGGGAAGAGCTTAAAGGACGGGAGCCGAACATCAGAGACGAAGGATCTCTGAGCGTTAAACACACACATTCGCACCCGCAGTACAAATTAGATGAATCATATCGTGTCTGAACGGTAGCCTCATGGTGTAAGTAGCCAAGCTGATACAGCCGTCATTCGTCAGCATATATGTGCAGCTAACCAGAAACCCGCCAGGATCGCCCAGGAGATCGTGACTGAAAAAGGGCGGACGGGGCCTGGGTAAGGCCCAGATACTCAGCAAAAAAAGCGACCCGAACCCGGAGCCATTCGTCTCCTCCACTCAGCTGTGGGGACAGTGCTGAGGCCAGACAGGAGATAGCAGGAAACCCAGGTACAGAATGACCACATACGTAGGTAGAGTCCACTGAATTGCCCCAGGGACGCTGGTTGACCCTGCGCTATGACCCCCAAACCCGCTCACACCTGTATGTCTCTCATGGAGAGCAGGATGGAGGTAGACGAAGAGGGGATTTCCCCATGGGGATGAATAAAATGTCATTATTCTATTATATTCTATCCTATAAGCCACAGCAACAGATGGAGTTCAGACTGGAAAACAATAGCAGCAGATCTCCTCAGTCCAATAACAGAAGTCAAACACATAGTTAATATGGGACATTATTAATCATATGAACCCATGGGGATGCCCAACTGTTGTAGGTAGTTCATGCCACCCATCCATCCAATGTGCCCAATTCATTCATTCATTCATTCATTCATTCATTCATTCATTCATTCTCCATACCTGCTTGTCCTATGCAGAGTCATGGGGGTCCAGAGCCCATCCTGGACGAATGAAGTATCATTATTCCCTAGTTTTTCAAACTACTCTACCATCCACTATCAACTGATAAAAAGCAACTAACAGTAAGCAATCCTTTCATCTTCAAGTTTGATCATGACTTGCCTCTCAAGGTCAACAAGCCAACAGGACCCTGGCAATCTAACTGACACTGTGGGGCAAGAAGTCCAAGTCCTCTCCAGATGTTCTCCACCCTAACAGAGATGATGGACACTCACTCCAGCAAAGTGCCGAAACGGCCGTTTCATCATGCTGTGGAAACTGGAGGCAGACGATGCACCCGACGGCGATTAATACCGTCAGCCTTGGCCACCGGCAAACTATGGACAACAATTCTGTACAGACACACGCTTTCTGAAAGCAAAGACTGTGCGACTCGATTTCTTGCGGCTTTTATTTTACGCCGAAAGCACTTTTGAACAGCTTGCGTGAGGAACTCAGGCAGACGTTCTGTGCTTTGTAGATAGTGTGACACTTAATACCTGGCAGCTCAAAACAACAGCAAGACTGAAATTACGATCCTTACGTTACAGCTGAGGAGTGATTCTAGGTAACAGTCTTGGGGTGAGAGATGGCGCGATAAAATGGGCTGCAGCAAGCAGCCAGACAGCCAGTTCATACCTCTAATGAACGTACATGTGAGGGGCACTTTAAGAAATCACACACTAAAGAGCAGAGAGGTGAAAAAAAGAAACAGAAAGCTAACAGGGCGGGAAGGGAGCAGGTGAACCTTGCAGTGCTTTATGGCAGGGGGGGGCAATCTTATCTGCAAAGGGCCGGTGTGTATGCAGGTTTTTGGGATAAGCTGTAGGTCAGCTATTCAAACCCAGGTGTGAGAACTCTTCAGCCAATCAGTCCTCTAATTAGTTATCTAATTAGGGAGTTGCAGTGAAAACCTGCACACACACCGGCCCTTTGCGGATAAGATCGCCCACCCCTGCTTTATGGTTACAAGCAGGGTGAAAATGCCACAAGCAAACACTGGGAGCACTCACCCGCTCAATGGAGCGCGGCCTCTTCTTTGACCTGGCAGGCAGTGCATCCTCCTTGGGGTTGGTGTCGATAGCCCAGTAGGAGCCCTGCAAGGAGACAGCAGGCGTCAGAGTGGCATCCCGCTGGCGGCCGCCCGCGTGTGCCGCCCGCGTGTGCCGCCCGCGTGTGCCGCCCGCGTGTGCCGCCCGCGTGTGCCGCCCGCATGTGCCGCCCGCATGTGCCGCCCGCATGTGCCACCATGGGCCGGCTTGCTCCCGCGGGCTTGAGAGATACGATCGGGTATACAATACAGAAAACATTATTACATGGTGTGTGGCTCAGGGGGTTAGACATCTGTGTCTGTTTTCAGAAGGTAGTCGGTTTGAATCCCATCCTCAGCAGAAGAGTCGCTTCTCTGTTGGGCCCTTAAGTAAGGCCCTTCACCCTCACCAGATACTCCCCAGACGAACTGGATAAATGGCCTAACCCTATGCTCGGACCCCTACCTATGCTCTCATATTTGCACGTCTGTCTGTCTCCAGAGAGAACAGGATGCGACAAGAAGCATTCCAAATGCACCTGTACTTGTGCAAATGACAAATAAAGCATCATTTCAATCGGCTGAGACTTCAAGAGCAACAGCAACGCACCCCAGACTGCAATAGTCATGTGGTGAAAGGTGACAGACCTTGTTTCTCCAGTTAGAAGTGAAAATTGGGAAATGGGCTGTTTTGCACGTCCTGTGTATGTGCCTGATTAATATTTGGAGTTCCTAAATGATTCCACGTCAGACGGGAGAGGGGAAAACACAAAACAAAATTTAAATTTGTTTATGGTGAGTTGAACACATCGGTCCGCCTTATTGCAAGCCATAATGCACTTCTAGCACATACAGGAGGATGAGGAAGAGGCTTGGATTCCTTAAGCCCTTAATTCAGTGGGAGCTGAGCAGAATACAGCGATGCCCTCGGTCGTTCCACACCTCTCCTTGTTATCCTCCAACTCGCCCTACAGGTTTCCAGAGGTGAGACACAGACTTTAGACCGTCCACTCACCCTTGACTAGTTGCATTGATCCTTCTTTGCAGCCACAGAAGAATTAAGGTTCTAGTCGGGCCTGAGAGCCGCTCAGGTAAATCAGGTAAACAATTCTTATACAGAAAGCGAAAATCCAGAGGTTCAAACTAAATTATTTACCTCCCGGCTGGCCTCCCACCATCAATTCTGGCTTCCCAATGGCAATGTCAAATTTCGAGCAGACTAATCATAAACTAAAACAGCAAACTTTCAATCTGACCCTGATTGTAACAGGAAGCCAGCTCTTCTTTTAAAACCCCCTCTTATGCCACCATCGCTGTGGTGTTTCAATATCATGGTGTATAAAAGACATTCACTTCATAACAACGTCCATAAGCGTTAAAGTCATCTATTAAAATCTTTAGTCACCTACAACAAGGTAACTTAGAGCTCACTTTATACAATTTTTTAGCATTTTCCTAGACTAAGATAATCCAAGAACCACTTCAGAATACTTAAATGCAAACCCTGGGGGATATTCAGCATTTAAGGACACCACTTTGGGAGCAAAATGTCCTTGGGGAAAGAAGTTTGTTCCACAGACCAGCATTAAACTGAAATGTTCCTGTGAAGTACCCAGCATCTTTGGAGGAGAGAATGTCGGCTAAGCGGGCAGAGGGTCTGAGAGAGAGATAAGTCAGCAGGCATCGAGGGAGACGTCGTGCTGGGGCGGTAGCCGGGCACCCACCCGCAGGCGCCCTCTACCCAGCACCAGGCGCTCCTGCAGCCATCACCCGCGGCAACCATCTAATTTACCTTCAAAACGCTTCTAAAGGAAAGTCTTTGACCCGCAGAGAAAGAGCAGGAGCGAAATTAAAAAGTTATAAAGCGCTTCTTTAGAGAGGTGCAAATTCGGGATTCAGGGGGCCATGATGCCTTCGGGCATTTTAGTTATTCCAGTCAAAGTTCGATATGATCTGAAGGCGTGTTCTGGGCCAACCGGTGTGAAATGAGACGGCCGTGCATGTTGGGGTGGGGTAGGGGGTGGGCTGGCTGCGAGAGAGAGTGGTACAGCTCTGCGTATGCCAGGCGGGGGGGTTAGAGAAGAGCGGCTACAGGATCACCCAGCGCACGTGTGGCTCGCTGCAGGAGGGGTCTGCTGCAAAACACTCGATTTCGGAAAGGGGGGTAGGACTTCTGGACTGGGAAGTATCTCTTTGAAGGTCTTTGGTGGGGTGAGGTGGGGGGGGTGAACATCGATTGAGAAATTAAACCTTCTTGATCGCCTGAGAGTCCGTGGATTTTCCCTTTTTTAAAACTGCAAGTGCCAATATCAGAGGGTTACGGCAAAACACCAAATTAGTATTCAGCCTGTGGCGCTCACTCATCACCAGCTCTGCGCGCGTGTGTGTGTGTGTTGTGTGTGTGTGTGTGTGTGTGTGTGCGCGCGCTCTCTCGTTTAAATTTGTGGGGAATCGCGGAGGCGATGAAATGGAGGCGGGCCAGCAAAGCAAAGGTCACGTGTGGCGTGCAGCGTCATGTCGCCCGAACCGGGGGGGGATGGGGTAGTGGCACTCTGACACTGTTTCCATGGAGACTTTTACTCCACTAACGGGAATACTTAACACAACACGGCATATTCTTGAAAGGCAGGTAAACGCTACAGACCCCACACCCCCCCGCCTGCCACCCCCCCTCTCTTCGCTTCAGTGAGAAATCGCCTTCCTTCTGGGAAGCACTTGACACTGCTAAAGATGACAAGGTGTAAAATTATTAATCCGATCCTCTGATTTTTTTTTTACATTTCACCCTGCTGTCATACATACCTGAGAAAAGCATTTGGCTTCAGTCAACATGTCGGTATATATATATTTTTATATACACATGCGCACACACACAAACACATATATACACATACATATATACACATACATATATACACATACATATATACAC